GGGTTTAGGGTTTAGTTTAAGGTTTTTAGGATGTAGGATTCTATACCGTGGGTCTTTAGAGAGTTTGAATATTAGGGATTCAGGGTTCTATGAGGCTCAGCGTGTAGCCTCAGCGTAGTTCGCCCACAAGCCCAGAAGCCGAACATGTGAGCGGCAAGAGAGGTCCGCTGAAGCCTGAAGCCAAAACGACGAAAGCCGAATCCCAAAATCCACCCAAAACCCTGAAACCCAAACACTTATAGAACCTTATACAGCAATCCGAAACCGAAAAGACTGACACCCAAACCCAAACCCTCGTCTTTGGCAAAGTCGGAGTTTACTTCCCTCGGCGTTGGCCTCCGTGGTCGACGTGCAGAAAATGGAATCCTGGCAGGGAAAAGAACCGGTGAATTCGGAGTTTCTATGGGGCTTTCGGAGGGTTTAGGGTTTCGGGGCTTAGGNNTTTAGGGGTTTAGGGTTTATGAGCTTAGGGGATGTAACTGAGGCTCAATTGACCGGGGTTTCGGACTGCAAAGAGACATCGGCGACATCGCGAGGGGTGTTTGTGTGGACGCTGCGACTTGAGACGAAGAGTTCGGCGCAAACCAATGCTACGGCACATCGGGCCATGAGACCCGCCACGGCTACAGTACCGACATTCGCCTTGTGCATACCCTACTTGTAGTACTCGTAAAGAGGAAAATCTTCAGCACTAAGATGTAATTAGCACCTATTATGTAGTCCACATATATAGTATGTGACTATTATATAGAAAGTTAAATCTTATACAAAATAATAATATAATATATGATATGACTATATTGTAGTCTAGAGCCGAGTAGATCCCTTGGTCCGGGCCTCAGGTGCTCCCACGCGAGCTGCCACTGTACGATGCAAGGACGCAGAATCCACGCCTTCGTACCTTTAGGGCTAGGGTTTAAGGTTTGGGGTTTAGGGTTTAAGGTTTAGGGCCTCGGGCTCTGAGACTTCGAGAAAGCAAGGCGGTAAAATGCGGAGCAAGGCGATGAAGCCGGCCTTTTTCTCAGTCGGATGCACCTTTGGTCTAGGCTTGGCTAGACCACTCAGACCGATGTCCAAGAACCCCAAACAAAAAGACGTGAAATCTGCCAAGAGGCAAGGCCAGTTGGAACACTTGCTGGCCTGGAAAAGGCAGATTCAAAACGCTTCGAGCGATGGTTTCTGACAATTCCTGAAGGGCTACATGCTGAATGACATCCCACAGATGCAACCACGAAACCATCCGAAGAGCGCAGCGTCAGCAAGTGGAAGGATGTGCTGCAACCTCCTGGCATTGTCCAGCTGTGAGACGGAGAATGACAAGACTACTTGATCTCCACCTTTCTGCCTTACCTTTTCGCAGCACTTCCCGAAACCTTAAGCCGGCTTTGAAATTCCAATAAGGGAGACGGAAGCCTGTTAACTTTTGGCCCTGGATTGTCATTGTCCCCCAAAGGCCTGCCGCCGTTTTCGGCGAGCTGGGATCCGACGATGGCCGCGTCAACGGCATGGGGAACGGTGGGCTCTGCGTCCGTCTGTTTATGTTGTTTTTCTTTTTGTGTGTGTGTGTGTGTGTCTGTCTGTCTCTGTGTCGGGGGGGGGGCAAGCTCTTCCGGTGTCCTGTCGCGGTCCGCAGGCGAGGCACAGATTGTGTGATCTTGCTCGAAGTGCCGATAGCTGCTGCATGGAACCTATAACAACTAAGCTCCAAGAGCTTCAATGCACGTCAGGTGGGGAGGACGCTGCATGCGCAAGGGCTGGGCACATGTCATGTTTGGGCCTTCCACAGGTCCGAGGAAGCTTTGCAAGGAAGATGGCGAGCGCAGGAGGGAGGCTTCCATAGTTCAAGAGAGTTCCGCATGCTCCATCCTACTTCCCCAAAGGGGCATAAGAACTGCTCTCTTCGCCATATCGCTAAATGGGGGGGTTTCCGAAAATAGGGGACCCTAATATAGTACCCTAAATAGTAGGAACACCCTGTTATCAGGATCCCAAAATAAGGGTACCCCTAATTTTCGGAAAATCCCAAAGACCTCCAAGGATGCAGATCGACAAACCAATCTGTCTCGACAGGCGGAGCAAAAGCTCGGTAGGAGTGGATACCCTCGTCCCTAGACTCTAAACCCTAAGCCCTATAGACCCTAAAACCCTAAACCCCAGACTCTAAACCCTAAGCCCTGTAGACCCTAGAGGGCATGAAGTAGTCTTTGAGCATGTAGATCCCAAGTCATCACGATCATCAGCACCCATCCGTCCCGCCAGTATGATAGCTTCAACATCACAGTGGTGGTCACGAGCAAAAACGATAATGATGAAATCCGCAGCGGCGCAGACTCAGGCTGAAGTAGCTTGCATTTTCGGGCAGGTTGCTAGATTCTGCTAGGTGGCAGGAAGAACACAAGATTAATCATAATAATAATCAATAATCATAAATAATAAATAATCATAAATAATAAACAATAATATCAATATAATAACTTAATAATACAAGTCTGATCTTTTCGATCTTCAATCCGAAAGCAGGTAGGCGATCGACCAGGAGCAAACCTCGGTCTCGCGTTTTCAGCTTGAAAGCGATATCAACACCACACGAAGACGCTTGCTTGTTCTGCCGTCCTTAACTGAAACCCTGTCCATGATTACCAGCTAGTTCACCCTGCAGCTTTGACAAACGACGTCATCACCTGCATGTAGGTTCGGAGTGCCTTCGCTCACTTGTGGCCAGTTGCTGCAAGACTTCTATGTGCTACTGCGACTTTCTGGAAACCCCGGGTGCAGAGTTTAGGGTTTAGGGGCGACATGAAACTGCACACGCTAAAGAAGGAAGCTGACTCGGGAAGGCCAAGTGGCTGCCCCGGTTTTGTCACCTGCGACGAGCTCTCCTCGCACCAAGTTCCTCGGCTCTGCTACATGAAGCCCATGTGGCTGCAAGCTATGTCTTGTCCCGATGCCTACTCCTTCCGCAGGATTTTCACGAAGTTCAAGCAGCGCGGCTTGGCACGAGAAAGCCGCCGTGCTATAAGCTGTCGTGCGTCACGCCTATGGCCTTGACATGTTGCCTATCTCGATGAACAAGAAAGAAGACGACCTGTACCCTAAACCCCAAACATTCCCGACATTCCTTTGGGCTTAGGGTTTAGGGTTCAGGCTACTGCCCTAGGGTTTAGGGATTGGGGTTTGGGGTTTAGGCTACTGCCCGGCCGGATGCGATCCAAGCCTCAGCGCCAGGCAGTTCACGGCGCTCTGCATTTTCACAGAACGACTCCGCAAGCGCCGGGCTTCCAAGTCCTGGTCAACGACAACTCTGCCGACCGAAAGCGATCAGAAGCCTGAGGAGCCTGAGGAGACATGTCATATATATATATATACACTCACACATTGTATAATATGTACATACATACGTGTTTGTGTATATATTAACTATATTTATATTTATATTTATATTTATATGCCAGATATGAGCCCAGCCCAGCTGATTCCTACGACGTAACTCTCAGATGCACACCCATTCACCGCTTGCTCCGTGCGCCGGAGATATCAGATGGTAAGACGAAACATCAGCGAACGACGGAAAGATGTTGAAGGCTCTTGAATTATTTGGGTCTGAGATTCGGCAGCTGACGCAAAATGCCGCAAAAACCTAAACAAAGTGCTTCTGTGCATACTCTTTGCCGAGTTCTGAAAGTGGTTCTCTTTGCGGCTTAACGAATTCGCCCTGAGTAAAGCCATCTGGGACCCATGAACAAAGCCCTGACTCCGTGTATAAAAATACTAGCAGATGAGGCTCCCAACAAAGGATGTCTCCATTTCGGAGGCCACATGCGACGACTGGCGACTCCTCAGCTTCCGAAACGTTCAGACAGGAAACAAGGTTGCATGCAGACCTGTTTGCAGCCCAGGTAGCCGGAAGGAAGATTGCTGAAAGCACCGGGTGGTCAAAGTCACCAGACCTTGAATGTCGAAGAACATCGAGCTGCAGCAAGAGTTTGCCAAATATCAAAGTGTGCACTTTGGAACTCCGGGGTTACAAACCTACATCTTCCTTGTTTGCTGCCCTGGGTTTGAACCTATGAGGAGGAACAACAAGAACTTCTGAAGCAAAGATTGGGCATTCAGAATTCCCCCCCATTGCAGGCTCTTGCCTGTACTGGCTGCATGGCCAAGAACATTGGACCATCACCTATCCAGTCGCTAGGGCGGAAATCCTGACTGACCCGAACACGCAACACGGATCTTCACCACTTGGAACATCTTACCGGCACAAATACACCAACCCCTTTTCGAAATTGAGCTAAACTTTCAGCGAAACGGCAAGAATCCCAAACTTGCGCAACAATGTTGTGATAAATTAAGGCCATCATCTCCTGCGACTTCTTGCATCTACGGTCGGAGGCCTTTCGATGCGAAAAAAACGCCCTTTTGAGCGCTGGGAACTGGGGATCTGCCCGAGGGGCAGCTCGCTGCTACCGCGATGGAGACAGAGGCGCCCGATGTTCTCCTGATCCGAGAGGACGGCAGCTTATGGTTTCATACTATCGTATATATATATATATACATATACGTACATACATACATATACATATACATATACATATACATATACATATACATATACATATACATATACATATACATATACATACATACATACATACATTACATACATATATATATATATGTATCAGTGAGCCAGTGAGCCTTTCGAAGGGAAGCAACCACGCTACAGGGCAGTTTTGGAGCTCAGGGGCTTTACAGGAAGTCCGGCGGTTAAGGGGATTTTACGGGTGAATTTAAGCTCTCCGAGGTCCTTGAAGCCGCAGAGGCTGTACACGAAGGTCGAGCGCTCTTCGCCCGGCGGCACCGCGATCAGCCACCTGAGCATGGGCGGCTTAGGGTTTGGGGTTTAGGGTTTAGGGTAGTTCTGCAGCGATGCAGAACTCAGTTGATATGGACTGATCGAAAGCCGGATACATCAGCAGCGACGTCCCGTTGCAGCACTGCTTCCTGAAAGTAAAAATGCATGAGGTCATCGCTTCAGCATCCTGACTGCCGCATCCGGCAATGACGCGATGCAGCCCAAAGGCGCTACGTATGCGGCATCTGTGCGGATCTCTTGCAGCTTGGCCCCACTTTCGGGCTGCCACAAGCAGATGCAGTGGCTGCGATCCGCTGACATAAGGACCTGGAGCAGAATTCTCTTTGCGTAGAATACTACACGGCATTTTAAGCAAACACGCAAATAACCTAACTCATGCTTTAAGACTACAAGTTAGTCTTACAAAGCATGTATACGTATGCACAGACACACATGTTTATAACATTGGCTAGCCAAGCTAAACGTTCAACCCTGCACTTTGAGCCCAAAATTCTGTATCTCTGCAACCCCTTTTCCCTTAACCTTAAACCCTAAACCCTAAACCCAAAACCCATACGGGAAAGGGGACCCCTTACGGAAGGCCCCCTCCTTGTCTGCCCCGCTCCAGGCCACGGAGGTCACAGTGCTGGCACAGTTCAGCTTCCTGAGAAATACAAGGAAACCATGAAATTTAGGGTTTAGGATATTAGTGTTTAGGGTTTAGGGTTTATAGGGGTTTAGGGTCTTAGGGTTTAGGGTCTAGGGTTTAGGGGGTTTAGGATATAAGGGTTTCGGGGTTTAGGGGTTTAGGGGTTAAGGTTTAGGGGTTTAGGGTTTAGGGTTCTCTCATGGGGCAATACACTACTGGTTGGCCCTTTGAAGCCTCTGAAAAATATTTGTAAAAATAGGGTCCTCTTAGGCACAAGAAGGGAAAATATGAAATCTCCCAAAGGCCTACCTAGAAGAGAATACAAGAAACATCGAAATGCTCTCCTATGTGGGACTTTCCGAAAACAGGGGGTTACCTTATTTTGGGGTCCTTATAATAAGGATCCTACCATTTAGGGTACTATATTAGGGTCCCTTCCTGAGAATACAAGAAACATGTTGAAATGCTCTCCTAGGGTTGATGATATAAATCTTATGCATTACCCATAATAAGGATTATACCATAAGTCTCATAGTTTAGGGTCCTTAAGGTAATGCAGGAGAATAAACATGAACTGCTCTCCTATGGCTAACCCTAGGCTTCCAGGGACCTTATTCTTGGGTCCTTAAACGGTCTAGGGCCCTAACTATAAGGTCCCTGGAAGCACAGGGTAAGGTCGTGAACAGCAGAAAAAAGTCGACTGAAGTAAGCTTACAGGGATCAGAGCAAAGCAGGAGCAAACAGTTGCAAGCAGAAGAAGTATGATCCAACCTGGCTCCAAGAGGATCGCCGAGGCTCCAAGGATTTTATTGTGTCGAAAGCTGATGATTGATTTGTCTTTGACGGCTTGTGGGACTCATAGGACTCGTAGGGCTTATTGGGCTCAGCGAGCTTAAGTAGGACTTGAAGCCCTAGAGGCTTCAGGGTTTTCACTTTGGAGATGATTGCAGGCTCTCACGCACTTCCTGCACGTCGTCTCTGGCGTGGCGCCGTGTCCGGCTAAGTTGACATCCATTGGCTCTGGGCACCTTGCTACAGCAAACAAAACCGCTCCCTGCCACGCTACATGATTTTGTATCCGTAAATCCCAAACGAAATCCGAACAATCGTAAATGCCCAAAGCCTGAACTGTGCGGCGAAGTTCAAGTGCTGCTCCAGGCTGTCCGGGTTCCAGAGGACGATGCGGCCCTGGGGGCAACAACACGGGAATTGCCTGCAGGACTACAATGTCGATTGGAACCCGCCGAGGAGTGCTGCACAAGTCCGCAGGTGCGTACACACATACATACATACATACATACATACATACATACATACATCTACAAACACACACACACACTCACACACACATATATATATATATAATATAGATAGATATATACGCTCAAACACATGCTTAACTATAAACATACCTACTAACTCTACCTAACCATATCTTATTGGTGTTGGTCTTGCATCCCATGTCAGTCAATATAAATATATATATATATAAATATATATATGTATGTATGTATGTATGTATGTATGTATGTATGTATGTATATGTGTACAGGATGTGCCTATACATCGTATGATGCACTAGCACCTGCGGAGAAAGGCCGGAAACTTGAAGAAACAAACCCCTGCATCCGAGCTATGCTTCAACACCCGCAGCTGCTAGCGCGCCTGCGGCTTCTCTTGGCTAAAGGCTCCATCGCCCGTGATTGCAGCACGCAGCTCCGGGACGAAGATCAGGCACGTGACGAGTTTTTTGTACCTTGCCGATTGCAAAGATAGCATGAGATAACCCGCAGGGCTGTCGAGTCTGCATAGGTGCAGGAAGCCACAGCTTAAACATCTCAGGCTCCGGAAATTTTGCCTTTTTGGTGCTTTTGTGTTCTAGGCCGCCTGTCGGGAGTTTGATCAGCTGAAGAAGGGCTCGGTCTGGGCCTTGAGGGGGGAGCTTCTGTGTTTGTGGTGCTCATGTTCGGGGGGGTTCATTTACACTAGACCCAAGAGAAACCTAGGAATAAAAAGGGTGCCCTTTTTGTTTAAATGACTTTATAAGGGAACCTGAACCCTAAAAAAGGGAATAAGGGCGTACTCTGGGTCCTAGTACAGATGCTTAGGGCCTCTAGGGCTTCTGGGCTGTCCAGGAAGACGTACCCAGCCGCCTGTCTGCAGCAGTATCGTAGCGCAGGGATTGCGGGGGAGAACAAGTGCAACCGTCCCTCTCGTCCCTGCGAACACTTCCGAGAAGATATTTTGGGGACCTAAAAACGAAACTATGGAGCCAGAAAGACTCTAGTGTAACCTCTGTCTATATGCCTTGAACTTGATTCTACGAGGCTTAGCTCAAGTTACCTGACCCATTTCAATCCTTGGCCAAATCTTTCTTCGGAAGTTGCTGCATCTCCGCCCGCAGCTCACCGGTGTCTGCATCCCAAACTGCCACCTGACAAACAATGGAGAGTCTTTGGTTTTATGTGTCGTGTCAGTACATACGGACTACCAGGCGTCGTAAGTATAATGCTTCCTATGTCCACCTGACAGATGCCGATTCATAAAGGGCCCCTTTCCGTGTCGACTGCCATCAAGTTCGGATTCGTGTTAGACGTCTGAGCACACATCACCATTTAGAGCGTACTCAATTGAGATGCTGGTGAAGGGGGGGGCCTTCAATGAGGGGAGTGTGGACCATCATGGCACAATCACGGCCGACCGCTCCCCAAACCCTAAACACCCCCATGCAAACCTCTAACCTTCGACACTGACCACCATTGATATAGGGTTACCATTCCACCAGGGTGTGAGGACATGGTATATGCCTTGGTTCAATGGGGACCACTATCGGGAAATATCATTACTAATCATCTAATAGTGAGATCCTTACACTATCCCGCAGGTATCAGCCCAAGGCTTTGCACAGCTTGACGAGACACTTGCAAATAATGTATGCTCCTGATCAATAGGTTTTTTAAAGAAGAAATCGCATAAAAATAAACTATTGAGGCCTTTCCCCCTCATAGATAGCAGGACTATTCGTGCCGTCAAAAGGCTCATGTTTAGATGCTTCCTCGGGCTCCCATGGAGATAACAGATATAAGCAAACTGCAAGAGTGGTTTGTTTGCAGGCTGCTTGAGCTAGGAAAACCGCACTCAGCAAGTGGGTCTGTTTGAGAAGCGTGCCTGAGCCGAGTGTGAACCTGCCCTGAGTACCCTTAAGCTCCTAAACCATAGAATCATAGAAACCTCAACATTTCATCCAGACCTTGAAAGGAGAAGGTTCCCAAGCAGAACAACCGACCCTCACCATGTCTGACCCGATCCCCAACAGTCCTAACCCCCCCAAGTCTTTCAAAGCTACCCCTGGACTCCCCCTAAATAACGAGCCTTAGGCCTTTACAACAACCACACATTCACACATCACCACACCTTCAACCTTACAACCATCAACTCTTATAGAACTCTTGACACCGCTGGAACCCTAGGGTTGGGCTCAGGATTTCGGGATACTTCATCTCTAGAACCCGAAAACCCCCAAGACCCTAAAGACAGTAAATCCTAAACCCCAAACCCTAAACCCCAAAACACCAAAGACCTTAAACCCTAAACCCTAAATCCCAAAGACCCAAAGCCCCAAAGACCCTAAAAAGCGTTCAAAAACCCGTCCCGGCCGTTGAGCTCTCGCGCACAGCACGGCCCCCGGCCCCAAGAACTGCACGAAGCGGCGCCGCCGTCGCCACCTGACCAGGACTTTCGGTTTGGGGTTTACCTGGAACCCGAAAAGTAGGTAGAATAATGTCCCAACACCTATACAAGGCTATTCTTCTACATACTTTTGGGGTCCAGGTAGTGATACTTCGGCTTCGGGTCGCCTGGGACCCCTGAAACCTAGGCTCGCCTCATAGCTTCGGCCCTAAACTCTGAACGGTGGGGTTTTTCGGCGCCGGAAACAAAACCAAACAGCTGTAGGTTGTTCAAAACCTCGGCGGGCGGCAAATCGCATCGGTTCGCACTCTTCAATCACTTTGGTGCTATTTCTCCAAACCCTCCACCACCCTAAGAAACCCTAAATCCCACAGCTAAGCCCCCAAAGAGCCTCGAAACCCTGCACCCTACCAGAACCCCCAAAAGCCCAAAACCACCAAGAGCCCGAAGAGCCCCCTAAACCCTAAACCCGAAGCCCTAAGCCCTAAACCACTAGGCCCTAAAGCCCTAAACCCTAAACCCCGATCCGGGCGAAGCAAAGGCGCTGAGAGGATGGGATCTTCGGAGCTCAGCTTGCGCCGCACCGCGCCGCTGGCAAGATCGACCAAAGTGGCGGTGCCTGGGGCTTTCTGGGTGTGAAGTATGTATATGTATGTATGTATATATATATACATATACACCTATATATATATATGTTATGTATATATATATACACATAACACATATAAACATCGGTATATATATATGTGTGTGTATATATATACACACACATATAGTATATATATTGATCGGGTTTAGGGCTGAAGTCTAGGGCTTAAAGAGCCACACTATAGGGGGTTTTGTTGTGAGGCTCCAGGGTGTATTTTCAGGGTCCGTCTGCTTTTGGGTTGAAGGTCTAAGCCGCTTACTGGGCGTAAGGGGTATTTGAATGCCACGGCAGCTTCAAGAACTCCTGAAGTATGCCAGATTTATAACCCTAGTTCCTAACTCCCATGATCCTTTAAGTACGGCAGCTTCAGGAGATCCGGATTCGAAGGTCAAGTTGCCTGATGTGTCGCCGACCACCACGAGGCCAAGCTCCTGCGGCATGACTGAAAGGAGCCCCCAACCCTTGGGCTTAGGGTTTAGAGAGGAGCCCCCAACCCTAGAGTTTAGGGTGTAGAGAGGAGCCCCCAACCCTATACTATATTTATTGACGCAAAGGAACCCTATACTTCTTAAGGAAACCGTAGACAATCGCTGCAGTAGCCGTAGAAAAGGACCACACTAAAGCCCGACACATGTCTCAGTGTCATGGGAGATTTTGGAGAACCATGTTGAGATGGGCTTGTGTGGGGGGGGGGGGGGGCCTCAGCA